CAGTTGCGTAAAATATGTAATTCCTCGATAATGGGATCCCAAAATATGTATTGCTTATCTTAGTATGTTTGATCTCATCTATGCCCCATACCTCTCATGCTTAGGTGACCTTTATCACACAAGATTCCGATCAAGTCTTCCTACTTGAAACAACTTGTAGCATTGCAACTAACTAGTGACTACGTAATCATTATGTCACTAAAAATAATACAAAACTGCCCCAAAAATCATATGAAAATCTTAGTGGTTAGGTGACCCATCACCTACTAAGACCATACAAATGATGCACAAATGTTCTTCAAAAGGATGGCAATGACTTGAATTTTTAAGAAAAGATGTTATATATGTTTTATAAAAATAGTTATAAAAAACATAGTCTCATGAATATTACATGCATCCAAGAATTCTCATACCCTTTTGTAAAAATCATATCACTTGTTATAAGGTAGTTTAGGTACCAAATACAACTTCATTTTATTTACCATTAGCCGTGGTCAGTTATAAACTAAAATCCGATATTTTTAAAGTTTAGTTGTAGAGCGCTTAAGAACCGGTTATAGTCTTTAATAAAATTTCATTTTATACTTAAAACTTAGAGTTTTGGATGAGTTCTAAAATCACTATTTTAAATCTCATTTTAATAATCAAAATCTTATAACTTTATAAATTTGTAGAATAAAACTCATTTTATTTAATAAACTAAATTTTATACATCTTATGATAAAAGTCATATTTTAACAAACCAAAACAAACAAAACTTAGGTGATGATACTTATGTTTTAAATCTAATTTGGCCTGCATAAAAGATAATATCAACATGTTGCATTAGGTTTAAAAAACCAATATCATATATTAATTTATAACATAAAAAACAATTACCAATTTTATTATTTGTCGGTATAACATTATAAACCGATTTTAGTCTTTTTAATGAAAGCTCTTTATTTATTATAAAAACATATAATTTATATAATGTTTAAACATATTTTAAACCATTTTAAATATTTTAAAGTTAGCTATTTAAAAGTTTTACTATAAAACTATTTTTAACAATAAAAAATGAATTTTTAACCGGTAACCGATAACACGTTATTATTAAATAGTCATTTATAAACATCCTATGTTACTTTTTAGATATATTTTTATTAAAACCTCAAGTGATATTATTTTATGATCAAATGTTATTTATCTTGTAAAATCATTTTCATATATCAAAATAACATATAACAATCATAAAATAAACATCACATTTATGTATTAAAATGTGTATAAACCAATCGATATCTATTAATAATTTTTGTGAGCCATGACAAGAATTATTAAGTCTTTCCTAAAAGATTTAAAATACACTTCAAAAGGTCTTCAAGCTCTCACTTGTTAAGACAATACTTGCTTGCAAAATAACTTCAAATATTTATGTTGTAAAGGTTGTAACACTTAAACTATTAAAACTACAATTAAACTTAAAATCAAGAATAGAAGCTCATGATTGGGATTATGGTTTCAAGTGGTTAAATCGTCTTTAAAAACTCATTTCTTCATTTTGTTACATTTAAAAAAAATACAACTAGTCTAACTAATTATTACATAAAATAAATAAATAAATAAATAAATACATATTTATCTATTAAATCTTATGAATAAATAAATATCAACCAAACACAACACAAAGATTCAAATGACTTGTTTATACACAACATATCAAATATAATAACAAACAACTTTTTGTTTTTTCTAAGGCAACTTTTATATAACCAAAATACATGAAAAATGGCTCTCTCTCTCTCTCTCTCTCTCTCTATATATATATATATATATATATATATATATATATATATACACACACACACACACACAATAAAAAATTTTAAACAAGTTGTCGAAGAAGATAAATATGGATCTTTCTTAACCAAAAGAAATACATGATTGTTTTACAAAAACCAAACATTAACAAACATAAAAAATCATTCTAACATATAAAAAATCTCTCTGATACCACTGATGGGTTTTGATACAAAGAATAAGTGTGTTTTTCATAACAACCGGGCAACAAAAGCTTTAAAAATAACAATATTATTTTTGACTTTCTAACAAAACCAAAACACAAAGAATCCATTTATAGATGTTAGAATGATAATAAAACAACCATAAAGTGTTTTAGAATGACAAATTTTGAAGTCTTTGAACCCACTTGGTTTTTGGGTGTTGATGAAGTTAAAAAGATCAAAAAGCATGATATTCTCTACAAGTATCCACCATCAAGATTATGAAATTTTGAATTCTAGTTCCTTCTTGTAATACTTTGTTCTCTAAGCATTTATGTGCTTAACAAAACAAGCACTAAATAAAGACACAAAATGAAGCATCAGAAAGCTAAGCACCAAACTTCAAAAGAGAGAGATTTTATGCTGTAGAAACTGACGGTAATTAAAAGGAAAAACAAGACCAAAAAACAAGTCAAATTCCATGCAAGAAGCTCTTATTTTATGATCATATGCAAAGTAAGGGCGATACATTGTAATACTTTAAAGTAATGTAAAGTATAAAGCATGGGGAGACAATAGTGGTGAAGATACACAAGCAAACTCCCACGCCCTATGGGATTTCAACCATTTTCGGCTACCAAAAGAAGACAAATTTTGTCTTCTATCTTGTTTTATCACATGGATCAAATAACTAGCTAATTCATGGTAACCTAAAGTTTCCAAAACTTTGTATATAACTTATTAAATCATACCATATGATATAATGACTAGTTATACTCTCTTTAATTATTATTTTCACAAAACAATGATTATTCTCTAATTAAATACAAGAATGATATTATTTATTAACAAACATATTAATAATAAATATACAAAATATGACAACTTCATAAAAGTGTGACCCTATAGGATCATAGTAGTGAATACGTTTACTGACCCATTAAACACATGTCTCTCACACACCACAAAACCAAGACCAATCACCATCACAATAACAACACCGGCAAAAAGATCATCACACATGATGAAAGGTAAAAAGCCAACAAAAAATTCTCTTCTTAATACGAAACACCAAAATTCACAACATATATTAACTGCTGACAAGAAGGAATAATGGCATAAAAATCACAGCTTCACTAAGACCACCATTTTGTAAGTCTCTCCTTTAAATCAAACAATTGTACATGAGTAATCAAAATTTATATAGTAAAGCTTCTTGCAGGTTTACTAGGAACACCTACATTTTGACTATGATGAACGCTGACTTTTTTCTAACAAGAGGGATAGAAATTTACTAACCATGTTTTGGATCAACTTATCACTTTTGACACAAATCAGTTAATGTTATACGAGCTGCTCTCCTATTTGTAAAAATGCAATGAATAATCTTGTATGTATTTCAATACAAGAAGTTGTGATATGTTATATCACCCTAATCACCTATAACTATTTGTGTGCTACGAAAAAATATAACGACCGACAACAAAGCACATGCCAAAATACTAGTTTTATTCTATTATTCAACTTTTGTGTATAAATGGGTTTTTGATAGGATGTAAATTAATTTTCGACTTTTGCCAGAATGAAATTTGTTTAATGAATTGATGTTGGTTCGGCATAAATAAAAAAATATGTGTGGGTTGTCTTTTTAACGAATTTTATTTTAATTATATTTATAAAGTATATTATTAGAAAAAGTGAATTCACATATTTCGAATGCTTTCCTACAAATTCAAAACGTAATCATCTTAGTATACATAAACTGGTTTATAATTTGTGGGAACCACAGTTATAAGTTTAATTAAATTTTCATAGTAAAAAATCAAAATTATTAATTAACTAACTAGGTGTAAGAATCAAGTATTATATGGGTTAATTAAAAAAATATATAAAATCTAAATATTTAAGAACTTTAGATTTATAAGAAAATAAGAAAAATAATGAATGATCAAAATTGATTTTTTTTTATAAAATTAGATAAATAAACTAATTAGCTTTAATTTGGAGTTTTGAAATAAGAAGGTAAGTCCATTAATGAAATTAATATGCATTTATTACTACATTTATTATAATTATCACATTAAAGTATTATGTAGAATTTGTTAAAATAGAAAAAGCTATAAAATGATATTTGAAAAAAAAAATTTAAAACTAGAAAGATGACCCCCGCGTTGCGGGGGTCGGAAGGTGTCGCTTTTGTGTGAAGTATAGTACATTGTTCTAATTGGTATATACAGTAAATATGTTGCTATTGTGTACGTTTCGCCCATTTACAAACACACAAATATGTTGCACTATGCTATAATATAATGACCCATTTGTGTTGCAAAGTAAATAGCAAGTGCGGTAGCAACAATTATTTATAAAGTTTTTGTAACAACACCTCTCTACCAAAGTACAACTCCAAATGACGATTTTGACTTTTTGAGTATAATGTGGTTACGTTGTACTCAAAGTTGTTGTCTGGTTATGTGAGGCATATAATCAGACCAGGGCCACCATTCCCAGATCAAGAGCTTACACCCTTCAATATCAACCCCTTTGCTTGATTAGAAAGACACTTCAATATATTTAGCAACTAAATATCTCAAATCTTCAACTGGTCTTATAAGTAATTGCACCTCCTGACTTAGTGAACCTACATTTTCTAAATTAAATCAAGCAATAAATTTGCAATAGTTAATTCATAACCTGAAAAAAAAAACAAATGTTCTTAACCTTATTTGAATTGGGAATAAAAATTAGTGCATCATTAACCGTTATTGACTTTAACCAACCTGGAGTAAATAATGACAACTGCAATGCAAATCAAGAGTGTAATCAAATAACTATTTTAAATTTACAAACACCTTTAGCATCAAAATATCCATCAACTAACACACACACACACAATACAATAAATTCAATGATGAATTAACAGCCATTTCATTGTCACCTTTTTCCAATTCCATTCCCATAACATGATCCTTCTCATTCTTCTCCACTTTCTCAATCTTTAATCTCTACCACATCAGTTCATTCAATATTAGTGTTTGATTTTGACTTTGACCTTGACTGATGTCAATGGAAAAAAGTATTTTATAAAAAGGAAAACAAAATTAATTGAAAAAAGAAGGATATCAAAACCTTAGTTTGTATAGAACAATCGTTAGCCATTTGGGCAAACATATTTCTATAAAGTTTAGCATCTCTTTTGTTACTCTCAGCTTCAAGTTGCTTCAAAGTCTTGTGAAAAGACTCCAACGCCTGTTGGAAACAACCATGTATAATAATAATAATAATAATAATAATAATAATAATAATAATAATTTGCAATTGTTTAAAAAAAAGTATAATGGTTTTATGATTATTTACCTTTGAACATAAGATGATAACATTTTTTTGATCATCTAATTTAAGGCTACAAGCAGTAACATTCAACCAGCATGAAACTCTTAATGATTTCACAACCTTTTCATCATAATTCCCAAACTGCCCTTCTTCACTAACATACTCCACTGCCTAAAAACATAACATGTATATCATATAAATGATTTATATTTATATTTTTTAAAACCTTTAAGAGTAAATTACATGAATGGTCCCTATGGTTTGGGGTAATTTGCACGTTTACTATTATCCAATTATTAATTTCTTCTTTAATTTATTTTATCATTTATATTATTTTCATTTATTATTATAAGTAAGAAAAAAAAAAGCATGTAGGGGTATGGTTATTTAAATAAATTAAAAAAATCAAGGGCAAAACAGTCTTTTTTGGTAAGACAGGACCAAGCGCGTAACAAAAACAAATAGTAGGGACCTTTAAAGTTAAAAAATAAGTTAGGGACCAAATGTGCAATTTTAATGATAGTTTTACCTTGTTGTATTTTTTAATTGCTCTTTGATATTTACAACTTTTATAAAGAATAATTCCTTCTTCTTTCTTCCTCCCAGCTGCCTCGATTCTTTCCTGAATTTCCATCTCCCATGGACCCTTTTCCTGCCAAATAACAATTTTACCCTTATACATATATGTAATTACTGATAAATGAAAATATGACTCTCTGTGTTTTATAATTGTTCTTTATGTAATTTCTAAAAGACAAAATGTACATCCATAAATTTTACGCTAAATTTAAACTTTTTCAATCATAAATAAAAATCAAATAGCAATGTTTACAAAATGTTTTCAAATCATTTTCCAACAGAGTGTCCCAAAAATCATATCATAAGGATGAGGAGCGGTATGGTCACGCCTTCGCCTTTCCATTATCTCCTGAAGTACCTGAAACTATAAACTGAAAACTGTAAGCCCGGGTTCTTAGTAAGCTACCCCCAAAATACCAATACCACACTGACAATACCATATAAGGAATAATCAATCAATCAACATGCATACTGGGCCATCGGCCTGACTGGACCACCCTACCGGGCCTACCGTCTGTCTAAATCTATCCCGAGCCTTCGGCATGACTGGTCCGCCACGTGGGCCTACAGTCTCCCCGGACCGCTTATAGGGTATATCGGCCTTCAGCATAAAGCAGGATCGCCTTAACCCAACCACAAGCAAATAACCATGTGTGCATACTATCATATATTGGCATCTACAAACATCAAACATATCTATCTCGTTGATCATCAATCATAGAATTCTCCTGTAACTAAAGTACCGACCTAGCAGGTCACTAACATACCAATCCCTAGAGATCATAAAACATTAACATACTGTCTACCCTGATTCAGATCTCACAGATCATAACCACATGTAGCATACCATAACAATACCAATTAAAGGGTTGGCCTTGGTGCCATTGACCCTATCGATACAGTGAGGATAACTCACCTTGCAAATGTCGACTCGAAAGGTAAACTCCAACTCTCAGATCACTTGGCACAGGCTCCACCACCTATTATCATAGTACAACATACTCATAAGTCCTTAACCTTATAAGGTACTCCATAACCCACTAGTCAACCCTTGGTCAAAGTCCTCAGTCAAGGTCAACAGTCCATGTTGACCTTAACTCGTCGAGTTCCTTGAAGCACTTTCCAACTCGTCGAGTCATTGGGGTGACTCGTTAAGTTCCTTTGATTCTCGATCAAACTTTAACACCACCCGTCGAGTTTCCTCCTTGCAACTCGACGGATACACACACATACATATCCTGGAGAAAACTCATCCGACTCGCCGAGTTGTTCTTCAACCCGTCGAGCTTATTGCAAACTTCATCGGACTCACCTTGTTGTTCATCCAACTCGTCGAGTTCACTGCCATCTTCATGTGACTCGCCGAATCAACCTTGCGACTTGTCGAGTCCATTCAGTCCATTTTCCATACAGACTTGTTTTGAGCCATGCAGCGGCTCCAAATCACAGATCCAAGCTTCTAGGGCATGCTTATCATGTAAACTTGCAAATTTTACGTGCATGCATGGCCATAAAGGCTCTATATGCCTATTTTAAGTCCTTAATGGAACTTCATGCTCAAGAAGGACCTTAATCATGACCAAAACTGAAACTTTATGCTTCTAGAATCCAAGGAGGGTCCAGATCTGAAGTTACAACTTCAAATCAAGCCCATAGCTCATCATACCAACTTGAAAATCCATAAAAGCCCTAGAAACTCAACAAAAGGGAAAAAGGGAAGTAAGGATTGGCACTTTGATACCTCCAAAGGATGCTAGCTGAGGTAAATCTTGTTTCCCATGCCTTCCTTGCTTCAATTCCTTTGCACTCTTAGCTTTCATCGTCTAAGATTCTCTTTCCAAGATTCAAACACCACACCAAGGCACACACACGTATTAGGGTTTTAAGGGGCTCTCAAAGACTACAAAGAGGCCAAAAGAGGCTAAGGCTCCTTTAAATAGAGGTGCAAACCCCGGGATTTAGGGTTTCATCTCCCAGCTCCTACTCGTTGAGTCCCAATATGGACTCGTCGAGTAGGTCACTTAACACGCGATCTCATCTAGCTGCTACTCGACGAGTAGGTCAACCAACTCGTCGAGTAGAGCTTAACCCAATAAATCTTATTTAAGCAATACTGAGAATCGGGGCGTTACAAAAAACTATAAAACTATAAAGTACTTAACTAAAAATAGGGTTAATTTCATAAAAGACCTTATATTTTGTTTTTTTTTCAGATTAAACCTTAACTTTATTTTTTCCTGAAAAAGACCTTATATTTTTCATTTTCTTCCGAAAAAATCCTCAACTTTATCTATTTTTTTTTCCGAAAACCTTTTAATTGTTTCTGAAAACACCTTTAACTTTTTTAGTTTTTTTTCGAAAAAACCCTCACATTTTACAGCTTTATACAGTAAATTACACGAATGGTCCCTATGGTTTACGATAATTTGCACGTTTGGTCCCTAACTAATTTTTTTAACTCGGAAGGTCCCTACTGTTTATTTTTGTTACATACTTGGTCCCTACTATTTGTTTTTGTTACACGTTTGGTCCCTGTGTTACTTAAAAAAAACTATTATTTCAATAGGGAGATATGGTGGGGTAGGTAAGATAAGGTGAGAGGGGTGGGATTAGGGGTGTGTTTATTTAAATAAATTAAAAAAAAACAAGGGAAATGCTTAATTATTATTTTTAAATAAACTATGAATGATATTTACCTTTTAAAATTGGATCATTTCAACTTCATAAATTAAATTTGAAAAAGGAGGAATTTCAGCCAAATCACAATTTATTTCTTGGCTTTCATAACCATATTCATGATTGATTGTTAATATTGCTTTCTCCCGCTTCCTCATTCTTGCAACACCTCGGTCTAACCCACAAATCACTTGTTCTACAATGACAATGAGAAGGGCATTTACGTCTTTTGCACAAACCAAAAAAAATTGTCATGTAATGTAACTAACCTTCATCTGCATCAAAACTCTTTTTCTCAAACACAGTTCCATCTTCTAGCATACCTGTATACCTAACTATAAAAAAGGAAGAAAATACAATGGCTAAAATAAATACAATATTATTATAAGTGTTTGATATAATAAACAAAAAGTATCAAAAAATCAATATATATGGAAAACGATTATATACTTACTAAGAACAGAAGCACCTTCATTTTGGAGTAAGAACACCTTCATCCTCTTTTAGTATTTTCTTAATCATCTTTGAATCATTTGTCATATGAACTACAGATTTGAAAGATACCAATTCCAATTCAACATGAAGCATAGAATTTGGTGGAATTGGAGAGAAACCATTGGGTAGTGATGTAATTGTAACCCCTTCTTCACCAAATCCATTTGTAGTTCATAAAAAGTCACATTATTTATCAATTTTAATTTATAATTATATTTATGGAATCTTACACTGTGGTTGAACAATTAAATCGGATTTCTCTTTTCTTGTCAATGTCTTAATTGTTTATGGAAGTGCCAAACACTAATGACCTAATAAGACAGTATAATATTATTTTAAAGAAATTTGGTTACATGAAAATGGTTGAAAGAAAATAAACTAATTACATAATTATTTATTTACCATCTTTCAAGTAAAACTCAACACCTTCTTTTGGTGATTCATAAATTATAACACCATCGGGTAGCTTCACTACATACTTCACTGCATTAACCAACATCAGTGAATGATTATATGTATTTTCACATCACTTATTAGTTAAAAAACTTGATATAAAATAGAAAAAAAAAAGTGCAAAATAATACCTATAACCTCATCCAAATCGCAAGGTTGTCCTGTTTCATCCCCCTTCTTCACTACTCTCTTAAGAATGCCACCATCTTTATAGGCATCTAATATTGTGATCCATGAGAGAAGATCTGTTTCAAACTAAATGATAGAATTTGGAGGCACAACATTTGTGACTGAAACTCCAAATCCCAATTGGGGAGGTAATGTAAACAATGTTATTTATCCTTTCTTCATTGTAAGTACTGCTTCATCAAAACCAGAACATATCTGACCTCATTGGTAATGTCAAACCAAAGCGACAATAGATGAAAGAATAAAGATCACATCACATTGTTACAGAAAAGAGAAAAAAAAACAATCGTGAAGAACAACTAACCTTGGCTAATCTTAAAGGAGAAGGGTTCCCCTTTTTAACTAGTGGAGATAAATGTTGTCCGATCACCCATACTCCCCACATAATGTCACACTCCAAACCAAAATGGCGGAATCGTTTAAGGGTGGATGACTTCATGTAGTATCGTAACAATTGAATACATAGTAAAGAAAGTAAACACAACCATCATATATATAATTTAAGAGTTACATTTTCAAATGATACTTGTTTCAAAAACAAATTACAATATGATGTCAAAATGAGTTTAAAACTGACGCCATAGCATCACTTCTCCAAAAGCTGAAGTTTACATGTATTACTGAATCCCTGAGAAATACAAGTAGATTTGAAAGAGTAGATCAGCATTTAAGCTGGTGAGTTCATAAGTACTTAATGTCAATGTTTGTATAAATTTAAATGAATTTGTTTATAGATTTTTGAAAACTCCTAGAAAATCCCATATTTGCTACTAGTATTAAAGTGGTCTTTTACTAAGACCCGACTATTTCGAATGTTGTTTCTAAAATTCCAATATTTTTCCATAAGTGTAAGGTAGTTATAAAGTTCCAAAAACAATTATGCATTAGTGTTTTTCATGCCTAGAATAGTAGATTTATGTATGTAAAAGAGTCGCTAAGGCATTAGATAACCCCATAAATCAACGTGTTTTTAATACTTCATGTGAGTTTTATAACCATACTATTGACCCTGACTGCCTGTAACAATGTTCTTCAGGCGTTGGAATGTTAATAACGTTTGTCACCCCAAACCTGCCGGTCTAACTGCAGCTAACAGTTTAGGTGCGAAATTGTCAATCCCGTATAGATCTATACACAAGTATCACGCTCTCCCTACAAGAGATTATGGTATATAATACAAGACTTTAACTGCATACTTGGAAGTACATGAAGTTGAATGTCCCACAAAACTTAGTATCAAATAGATTTACGTATGAAAAGTTCATTTGTTCTTGTATATGAAAGTATTTCCCTAATATAGTACTCATAGTATGTAAAATCTCTTAAATATCTAGTAAACTATACCTATTATAGTTTTTCTCAAATGTATGATTCGTTTGTATGATAAACCCTAGTGCAGTATCAGCTTGGTATGTAAGTATAACATTTGTAATAACATTATTGAACATTATACACCAATATATAAATAAAGTGTTGATATTTGTATAACAACATGTTTTCACTCTTGAAGGACAAAATGTTATTGAATAAGTGTTGCATGTGAACATTTTCATATGATAGTTATAAATCACGTATGATTTGTCATATAAAGATAAGTGTAGTAAAAGCTTAATGTTTTCCACACAAGACCCTCCCCCCTTTAAAGTGTATAAAAGCATTTATAAAGCATTTGGAAACATAGTTGTAGGGGTATGAACTCACTTGATAAACAGAAGAAATTGAAATGAAAAGTGAGCAGAACTTCGACTAGGGAAACTTGAATTTCTCGGGATTCTCAAAAATCTCGGGAATCTCGGGAGTGAAAAAAATTCCTTCGGAACTTGGATATGAATACCGGGGCTTCGGGATGGCATCGGGGGTTTAAACCCAGAGCTTCGACACGAGAGGGAGAAGAAATGAGCACTGGGACCCAACACCTTCGACTGCTATTTATAGCCCAAATTTGGTCACCACGTCGAGGTACACCTCACCACATCTTTTGTCCGCATAACTCTTTTGTCTGTCTCTTGAAGCCTTTAGTCGGTCCCGAATTTGTACTATCTTCTCAGTTGTTTCTCTTATAACTTCCGGGCCTGAGAGAGCGTTGTCGGGTACTTGTCCCTTGGCTAGTTGTGTGTCACCCACTTCAGCCCAGCACAGTGGTGATCTACACTTGCAGCCATACTTGTCCCATGCTTTATCAAAACCGATTACACAAGCTCTTAGCATATCTTCCAAGGTTTGTATGCTCCTCTCACTTTGACCATCGGTTTGTGGATGGTAAGCGGTACTCATGTCTAGTTTCGTTCTAAGAGATATATGTAGTGACTGCCAGAATCACGAGGTGAACCTACTATCTCTGTCGGAGATAATGGATGTTGGTACACCATGTAGTCGTACAATCTCTCGGATGTATGTTCGAGCTAGCTTCTCCATCTTGTCAGTTTCTTTTATGGGTAGGAAGTGTACGGATTTTGTCAATTTATCGACGATCACCCAGATCGTGTCAAGCCCACCCGTTGTCTTGGGTAATTTGGTTATGAAATCCATGGTTATCCGCTCCCACTTCCATGCAGGTATTTCAGGCTGTTGTAGTAATCCCGAGGGCTTTTGGTACTCTACTTTGACCTTAGCGCAAGTCAGGCACGTGCCCACATAGGTAGCGATCTCTGCTTTCATGTTCGGCCACCAATACAGTTTCGTGAGGTCTAGATACATCTTATCCGAACCTGGATGTACGGATTATCAAGTCTTATGAGCATCATTCATGACTATGTCTCTGAATCGACCGAACTTCAGCGTCCAGATCCGATCCATGAAGTAATGAACTCCATCTCCCTTGATTTCAAGATTCCTATCCATTCCCCTTAAGGCTTCACCCGTCACATTCTCTAATTTCAAGGCGTCCCTCTGAGCTTCCTTGATTTGTGTGGACAGGTGTGAATGGATCGTCATAGTTAAGGATTTCACTCGGCGGCCCGAGTATTCCTTTCGACTAAGGGCATCCGCTACCACATTCGCTTTTCCTGGGTGATAACGAATTTCACATTCGTAATCATTTAACAGTTCAACCCATCGTCTTTGCCTCATGTTGAGTTCCTTTTGATTGAGGATGTGTAGAAGGCTCTTGTGATCGATAAAGATTGTGCATTTCGTGCCATAGAGATAGTGTCTCCATATCTTTAAGGCAAAAATGACTGCTCCCAGTTCGAGGTTGTGTGTAGTATAGTTGACCTCGTGCGTCTCGAGTTGTCTTGAGATGTAGGCGATGACTTTTCCTCATTACATTAGAAAACATCCTAGACCCTAATTAGATGGATCACAGTAGACCACGAAGTCTTCCATTCCTTCTAGCAAGGACAATAAAGGTGTGCTGCATAGGGCTTGCTTCAGTCTTTGGAATGAAGCATCTTGTCTTTCTTCCCAGTTGAAAATTACCCCCTTTTGGGTCAAGGTGGTAAGTAGTTTAGCAATCTTCGAGAAGTTTAGAATAAACCTTCGATAGTAGCTAGTAAGGCCCAAGAATTGTTGGATTTCTGTTGGGGTCCTTGGGGTTGGCCAATTCTCGATTACTTTGATTTTGGAAGGGTCCACGTGTATCCCATCCTTGCTAACCACATGACCCAGGAAATCTACTTTCTGAATCCAAAATTTGCACTTTGAGAATTTTGTATATAGCCTTTCTTTTCTTAGAGTTTCCAAGATTTGGCGGAGGTGTTGACCGTGTTCTTCTTTATTCTTCAAATAAATGAGTATATCGTCTATGAACACAATCACAAATTTGTCCAGGAATGAACAACACACTCGGTTCATTAAGTCCATGAACATTGTCGGTGCATTTCTTAATCCAAAGGGCATCACTACAAACTTGTAGTCACCATAACGAGTTCGAAAGGCTGTTTTGGGAACATCTCCTTCCAAGACCACATCTCAAATCGATCTTTGAGAAACTTGCTCCTTGGAGTTGGTCGAACAAGTTGTCACACCCCAAAACCAAGAACGGCGGAAACGTTTAGGGGTGGAGGACCTCATGTGAAGTATCATAACACTGTAAAGTAGTAAACAAGCAACAACATCATCCATTGCATTAAAAGTAAAGTTTTAATACATGTGTGTTCTTTTATAGTAATAAGACACCAAAAATATGTAGTCAAAATAAAAGACGACTCTTGTCTCTGTTCTCAAAACCTGGTCATCGTACCTATCTACTGGTGACCTGAGAATACAAGTTATTTTGAAAGCGAGTATCAGCATAAAGCTGGTGAATTCATAAGTATTTAAGTGTCATTACCCTATTTTGGAAAGCTGTTATGAATGCCATGTAAATCATTGAATGAAACATTTGATATAAGTATAAAAACCCTAGAAAATACCATATTTCCTACTAGTATAAGAGTAGTCTTCTACCAGGGCTTGAATGTTTTGAAAGTAGTCTTTTACCAAGACCTGAATGTTTTGCTGTAACAAAGATGGTTTTTCCCCTTTATGACTACTATTAACAATATATAGTCTACCTCATCGTTTATGTGAATGTATTACAAAATAAAAGTAATAGGGAAAATATAGCCATATGAGTATTATCCTTTTGTATTAGGATAAACACGACATCAGGACTGCCGAAAAGTATTAACCTTGAACATCCGTAGATGTTCATTTTCCTCTGTAGCTAATAGCAAGTCGAAGGAATGGTTAGTCTCGTAAAGCTACCCCTAGTATAAGTATTAACCGTAGGCATTTGTAGATGTTTATTACCTCTGTTGCTAATAGGTGGGTGCCGGAAAGGTTAATCCCGTATAGTGTCCTTTAGTACTAGGATAGACAGAACTAAACTACACGTATGATATGTAATAGTATCTCATCATATAGTATCTAGGTACAAGTATCCATGTAAGTGTATCTCTTCATATAGCATTTAGTATAGACTCGAGAATGAACTGACTCTGGTGTAATTCCTTGTAATAGGAATAATGTTTTGTATCCCCTAACTATCCCTATAATAGTTTACTGGAAGGTAATTGATGTCCAAGAAAGTTTATAGAAAACCATTTCATGCATCACATTTTGAAGTATGTGAAATCAACTGGATGAAAACACAGTTATAAATCACATGTGATTGACTCATTACCATGTTATTTTCTACTTGTATCCCCCCCCCCCCCCACTAAAGCATTTACAATCATTTAAAACATTGATCTAGGGGTTTGAACTCACATGTAGATGGTGGTTTGGATGAACTGAATGATGTAGGATAGCTAGGTGACAAGTGAAGACTTGTTCACACCCAACGATCCTAGTTAACATATAGTCACACATATATGTATTCAATTAGACTTTAAACCACTAATTGAGAAAGTTAATACATCCTAAGGCATGTAAAACACCGTATATAAGTGCTACGAGTCATAA